ATATATGGAGACTACTGATTTTTTTCACCATCCACTTGAAGGAATTTGAGTCAAGGTCTCAGTTCTCCAGAAATTTAATCTGGTTTCATGTGTAGCCAGAGCCACATGGAGAAGAAGTAATTTAATGCACTGTTGTGGGTGGCTCGGCTGGGCTCCTCTCATGATTCTGTGCCAAGTGCTCCCACTTTGCCTCATTATGGCCACAGCATTCCCCAGGGGACTCAGTGCTTCTTGATACTGTGAGCTGAAGAGGGGTGATACATTCATACAGAGACACAACAGAGCAGAGTTAGCAAAAGAAGGCTTCTTCCTTCACTAGAGTCCAGAGATGATGGTGGGAATAACCACCAGGAAACCAGCGCAGGAGCAATCTGCCTGCGGATGGTTTCTTGGTAGCTTATTTCTTCCTCTCAAGTTATGCTTTCTGGTGTCAACACGATGTGGAGCTGAGAGCTTTTGTTTTCCTTATTTTGCTTTTGGTTTTTAAGATAGGCAGTGAGACTTTTACAACACATGCTAACCCTGCCCTGAAATGTTTTTGAAGTTTTCTAATGCGGATTCCCTGCTGGGCTGAGTGCCTTTTTCTTTATTAAAAATAAAACAAGGTTTTACAAATTATTAAAGGCAGACACCAAAATCGTTACTTTTTCTCTCCCTCCAGCATAGTCTTTATAAAAATGTTGCTAATATTTACAGTATCACATACCACATTCCCCATTCAGGCCAATTGCTTTCCTAAGATTTGCAATGGATTTGTGCTTTTAATGTGGTTCTGCTTTGAGCAGGCTCCGGTTTAAATCAATCCAGGCCATAATTAAGCCAAGTTGAAATGTAACGTGATCTCACTCCCTTGCTCCTTGTTTCATTCTTCCCGCTGCTGCAAGGCATTATTATTTGGGGGAGGGGAAATCTGTCTCTAACTTCGTTCAGGAACCTCTTTATATTCCCATTCTGAACTGTTTACCAACAGAGCTCTTCGTAACACTATGTGGAGTACATGCTCCCTCTGAGCGCTCCCATTGCACTGTGTCCCTGTGCAAGTGCCCCATGCATGTGTGCACGCACACACATGCAGAGTGATATGTGTTACATTAAAAAGTTAAGTCTCCAAACATACTAACAAAGAGTCGTGGGATAAACAGAAGAAGGTAGAAATGGACATTCAAATAAATACAGACGGTGGCCTGCAGCAGACTCTAAATCCCAGTGAAACTTGAGACCAGTGTATACACAGGCCTGAGGAAGCACTGCTTTGCATAAAATTTAAAAATATCACTAGGCTAAGATTTCATTAAAAAACAAAAAAAAGAGTTAAACACCTGACCATGAAGTTTAAAGGGGGTTAGCTATCAAATCAAATTCTGGTTTCTTGTTGACCCCCAATGACGCTTAATATAATTTCCAAAGCCAAATATGACATATCTTCAAGAGAAATCAAAAGCTACCACAACAATAGACTCAGGCACAAAATTTTAGGATGATGGTAGCAAACCACTATTCAATGAGGTAATATACAAAAAACCCATTGCCATTAAGTCGATTCCGACTCACAGCGAACATACAGGACAGAGTAAAACTGCCCCACAGAGGTTCCAAGGAGCGACTGGTGGGTTCCAACTGTAACTTTTTGGTTAGCAGCCAAGCTCTTAACCATTGTGCCACCAGAGCTCCCATGTAATACAAGGAAATGCTTTATAAACTATGATATACCACACATTATTAACAGCTGCTGGTGAGTTGATTTCAACTCATAGCGACCACTTCTGTGTCTGAGTAGAACTGTGCTCCACAGGGTTTTCAATGGCTACTTCTTCAGAAGTAGATTGCTAGGCCTTTCCTCCAAGGTTTTGGTGTTTGCCTTTAACAATTTGTAAAGCTTTGTTTTGTTTTTAATAAGGGTGGACCTCGAGCCTCCAATCTTTCGGTTAGCAGCTGAGTGTGTTAACAACTTGCACCACCCTGGGACCCATGCATTATAAGGACCGTTATTATTACTCATCACATGGCCTCTAGTAGGGTCCTACTTAGGATTTAGCCAGGACCAGCTTTAACTAGTGACACTGTGTTTCATTAACGTCCACAGAATTAGTGCTTAACAAGACACATGACAGAGGTTTGGGTGTTGCAAACATTTTTCTTTCAGGAGAAGTCTCAGCTCCTCGTGTGCTCTCTTTACTATCCTCACCCTTGCCTTTTACAAATATGCCAAGATAGATGATGTCACAAACAACACAGATTTCCACATGAGGAAACATTAACTGCTTACAGCTTCTCGGAGACAGAGTTTCTTCAGCTCCTCCAGCCGCTGGCGCAGGGTTTCCTCCAGGGCTTCCTGCCTGGATTTCAAGGCGGCCAGCATGTCTTTCTTGGCCGACTGAGAGCTATCTGATTCCTGAGAGCCTGTCAATAAACGGTGGGGTTACTAGGTCAGCCGACAGAGGGACACACATCTGGACCACTAATGAATTTAACTGGAGCCCACACTGTGGATATAGGATTTATCCCAGGAATCAAGGGAGCGTGAAATAAAGCAGGTGCTGCAGAGCTGCAAGTGTAAACAGTGAATGTGCAGCACTTACTGGAATTTATAGCTAGTCAGAAGGGCTGGCAGAACATTTACTCCTGAAAGAGAAGTGTATCTTTCTTGATTATCTTAAGATATGCCACAAACCAGTTTTAATTTTCTCTAGCAAATTTTAATAGACTTTACACAATTAAGGGGAATGTAAAGTTCAAGCTAGCAATTTTAATCCCTATTTTTTTTATTTTCTTTGTTCCATCTTAAAAGGCTTATTTTTCTAAGTATCAAGATAATGCATGTTTATCAGAAACATTTAAAAAATGTAGAAATGTATAAAAATAGCCCATAAACTAGCTGTCCAGAGATAACCCCTGTTGATGTTTGCATGCATTTTCTCTTAACCTTTTATCTAAGTACATATATACTTAAAGTTAGAACTTTATTGTATTTTTTTTACTTAATATTGTATCATGAGCAAATTATCTCCTAATAAAAGTTACACATATTTTTACATGCTTCCCAGAATAGACGTATCTATGTGTAAATTCAAATAGAAGACAGCAAGATATGAAAGCTTTGTAGAAGGCAAATTGTGAACCAAGCCAAAGAAAAATAAGCTGAAATGTCAACTGAAGGAATTCAGGTTAAACCAAAAGAATAATTTATGGGCTGCAGTGTTTGGATCCTGAAATAGGTTTCCTGCTGTAAGGCTATTATACCTTTTCTACCTTACTGGGTTAGAAAAGTACACTGACTCCCTGGAAAGGAAAAGTTGATTATTACTTTTCTTCTCATGCCCATGGCGGGCCAAGCGTTTAAAATGCACAGGTGTTACTGTGCATTCAAGGGGGGAGTGGCTCAGATTATGCCATTTATAATAGCATCAAAAACAAAAACAAATACTTAGGAATAAATATAGTGAAAGATGTGCAAGACTTCTACAGTGAAAATTATAATACATGGCTAAGAAAAATTAAAGGCCTAAATAAATGGAGAGATATACCATGAATGATCATGGATTGGAAGCTTGAAATTACAAAGATGTCAAGTCTCCATGAATTAAATAATGGAATCAATGCAATCCTGATAAAAATTTCAGTAGGATTTTTCTGGGGAGAGGGGGGCAGGAATTGTATTCCCACAGGAACCAACATTTGTATACAATTGAGTGGACAGTGACAAGTTTCTGTTCTATTTCTTCCAAGGGTAAAAAAAGCATCTCAATCACAAAGTCAGAAAGATCTTCTATGCCTCTGCCTCAATAAACTCTGCTATATTCAAATTATACCCATAAATATACTTTTCTACTGTTTTATATACAGTCTCTGAGCAGGAAACCCCATATTCCTGCACTTACCTTGCATCTAGAGTCTTATAACCCTAACATTCAATAACTCTTCATGTCTATTTGACTCCAAGTTGGATGTTTTTCCTTTCTTCCCCCCGCCCCCCCATTTTGGCTAGAAATAGAGAATACCTACTATTGCACACTGCAGGAACATACCATCTTTATGTCTCCCCAGTAGCTGATAAATACTAGTTGAATGAAGAAACCAATAAATGTTGTCTGTCATATACCTGGATGCTATAATTAAATTGTATTTCATCTTGATAAATAACTCTAGTACCTGTGCATCTTTTCTTTATAAAACCTACCTTCCAAACTTGTACTTATTTTTGTAGCTCTTTCCTGGAATTTGTCCTGCTTCAGTTGCAGGTTTCCAAATTCAATAGCAAACTCTAAGGAAAGCTTGACCCTTACAGAGTCTCCATTACCTTATGTTTTTCATATACTAAATCCATACGGCGTCATGCTCACAGAGCATTTCGTTGGATATTATTGCAGGCTCCCTTTTTAGAACTGGTTCAAGTTTTTACCTCCATAAGTCAATTACCTTGAGCTTATCAGTACTGAACAATCTCCAGTTTACATCCATGTAACAGGGCTAAACAATTTTGAGTCTTAATCTGTTCGCTTAGTTACAGTTACCAATCATGTTTGAAGAGACAGGACAATTTAATGAGGTACTCTCTGTTCCACCATCTAAAGAATTAATAAGAATGGAAAATAATACTGGAAGGAAGTCGACTTCAGATTTAAAAAACAGGCCCGGGGAAACTTGGGTCCAAGAAGATTAAAAGATTTCTAGCTCGGGTGAAAAACTCGTTGTTTTCTCTTTCACTTCTGCTTAACCTCGCAATAGGAAATGATGATTTATTAAGCCTAATCTAAGAGTTAACTATGTTTAAAAAATGGCAAAAAAATCACAACAACATTAAACTCTGGGAGGTTAAGTGCATACTTTTTGGATGGTCTGGTCTCTAGTTATAGGATTAGTTAAGATTTGGCCATGAGTTACAGGGTTCATAAATGCTACCTAAGTTACTATTACTTATAATACTATTACTTATAATAATTAGCCCAAATACCAAACCTACATAAGATGGGTAAGATAGTCTTGGCAGGCTAGATGGCTCAAGAGATCCTCTTGGTTTCTGGCACCAAAGCTTGCTGGCTCTGTTTCATACCTTTTGTACTGGAAATTACTTCATGAGGAATATGGTGCCTGGGTACAAAATTAAGTCTTCACAAAGTAACTGAGTCACCTTGCCCTGGACTTGCAGATTTCCATTTTAGTGGTAACTGGACAGCTGGGTAGAAGTTAAAACAGGATCTGGGTTTGATGAGGTCTAAATCATTCATTAGATGTGGGGTCTTGGGCATGTTACGTGACCCCTTTTATTTATTGTGAGGACTAAAAGAATGCATGTAAAGCATTTAGCACTGTGCCTGGAATAGTTAAACCCTCAATCTCGGATAGATTCAACACACACATGTATATACATACATATACATACACATGGACACACACATGCACACACCCTAGTAGAATCAGGAAGAGAAACATCATTGAAACTTTACTTCCCTCACCACCTCACTGTTGCTCAAGGAGGTACTGGCCAAAGAAAAGAAACTTACTACACAATTTAGATTAAGTCTTGGGCTCCAAAGCTCACCTAAAGAAAGGAGCAATATAAGTCTAGGCAGTATTGTCGAACTATGCTTCTTGAGCCCTTGGTTCGCAGAGATGCATTTGAGGCTGCTGTGGATGAAGATGGGAGTGGGGGCGAGGAGACGGAGCTGGTTCTGGGACCCTCCACTCTGTACTCCTTAAGCATAAAGCAGCTCTGCAGGAATCTAGTTTATGTATTTAGATTCTTGTCATTGAATTTGAAAAGAGGCTGCCACTGACTATTTTTCTTTAAAGAAAATCCACTGTTTTGGGGCAAGGGCTCTGCTCTATTTCCAGGCTTGCAGTGTGATCTGAGCCTGTGGGGGCTGTTTCCTGCAACTAGGCAAACACAGCAACCTGGCTGAGGAGAAGGGGCTGAGTTAGCCTTGACAAGGACACCCCAGTAAGAATCCCACAGAAAGAAGCTTCAAAGGGCACCTGAAGACGGATGCCCAAACTGCCCTATGATGCTGATGACACTTCCCACCTCTTCTACAAATGCCCTGAATGAGACGGTTGCCATCTAAAAGGGAAGAAGGAAAGACGCCAACAAGAAAGCCAGAAATCAGGAGCAGAGAATCACTCTTTGGCTGGCCTCCTTAATGCCCTCAAGTGCCAGAATGACTCTACAAAGAAACTGAACCAGGGGAAAGCTACTTGCCAGCCTCAGGGGCTCTGCTCAGTGGGAGTCTCACAAAATTAAGGTTCATTATCATATAAAAAATGATTCCAGACACCAAAATAATCTCAAATTAGTGCCTAGGCTTGGGGAATGGTATGGAAGATCTCTGGTACTATGATTTATCTATTTCCAGTTATTTGAACACATATATGCCTTTCCCCATGCAAGAAAGCTCCAAGCTTATATGTTAAGCCCTAAAAAAAAAAAAACATTATGTAAGTCCACTATGTTTGAGAGGGACAGTGACTGCTAGGAAAGAAACCTGGATTTTTTATCACATATCATCTACTTAACTAGTGTAAGGCCTTGAGTTACTAACCTCAAGAACCACAATGTCCTCATCTATAAAATAGCCAGCTGACCAATCTCCAAGATTCCTCCGAACTGGACAACTTATTACTTAATAAGCAACTTACTCCTGCAGTTCCCTCTGCGTCTAGCAGTCATTTTTGCAATTTTTACAAAAGGAATCTTATACTCGGTGCCATCTTCCCTTCTCTTTTCTTTGCTATCCCTGCTTCTAGGAAAGACAAGCATTCTGCCAGTTCTGGTCCTGATCTCAGTTACTGCTGTAGCTTACCTCAGATTGGAAGGGAACGTCTATCAACCAGTACCTAAAGGACTTCCCTCTTCATCTTATCACCAGACCAAAACAAGTATTTGTAGGCTTAGATGCTATATAAACTTTAATCTGATCTGTCTGTCTTGAGGATTAATGAAGTAAGAAGACTGATGGAACCTCTACCTAGAGGAGTGAGATTGTAAATCTTACAGACTGAAAAATCGCAGCTGAGTGCAACTTTAAAAAGGCTGTCCATGTATAATGAATCGGTGCGGGAGACAGGAAAAACAAAGAGGTGATTTGAATCTTTTTTTGAAAGGTATAAGTAATACATGAATGCATTTTTTTTTTAGGGGTGAAGAAAACAAAAACCATTGCCATCGAGTCGATTCCGACCCTATAGGACAGAGTAGAACTGCCCCGTAGGGTTTCCAAAGAGCAGCTGGTAGATTCGAACTGCCGACCTTTTAGTTAGCAGCCACAGCTCTTAACCACTGTGCCACCAGGCCTCCTTTTTAGGGTTAGGAGTATAAAAATTTTAAGGGAAAGAGTGATCTGAACAGTCTTTGGAAAATATAAACTGGTGACACAGCCTCTGGAGGCAGAAGTCTATAATCCAGT